AGTATGGGGTGGGGGCGGTGGGGCTAGCATAAACCCTAAGGATAACGATGTGAAAAAATATATCAAAGGAGCCAAATTTTGAAGGGTGGTAAGCAGAGAGATAAGTGGTAATCTACTTGGCAGGCTTGAAAAACCACATTGTAAATGGACATTAAGTAAATATAAGAACAAATTCAATATGCACTCCAGTATTGTCAAAATGCTCAAGAGTTGATGAGACCTCTAGAAGTGGGGTGAACTGGGATGTTGGATTAAGGAAGACTGGTTGAATGAAGGCTGAGAGTCAGATGAGTTCCTGGATTTCTCCTTTTCCCCACTCTGTACCACTGGTTGATTGCTCCTCCCACACTCTGGCCAATGTCTACAGGTTTAGGTTGTCCAGAAAGGGAAACAGATGTGTTTCTGGTGAAGGAACACCAGCACAGTTGAGGCGGAGCATTGAAGTACTTAAAGTAGGGAGAATAAGTGAAGTATGTGTATTGACTACTTGAGCTCCCTGCTCCTTTCCTGCACTTTATTCTTCAGGCAAGGGAAATGACAGGGGGTAATCTCTGGAGAATATGACTATCTCAATATTAACCACTTAAAAAACACCGACTTCAAGAGTCTTCTCACAAACATCTAGATGGACTACTCTTATTATTAGTGTTTCTCCAATTGGAGGTATAATGGCAATGTCTGGAGACTTTTTTTTTTTTTTTTTTTGAGACAGAGTCTCACTCTGCCACCCAGGCCAGAGTGCAGTGGTGCGATCTTGGCTCACTGCAACCTCTGCCTCCCGGTTCAAGCAATTCTCCTGCTCAGCCTCCCGAGTAGCTGGACTATAGTGTGTGTGCCACCACACCCGGCTAATTTTTGTATTTTCAGTAGAGATGGGGTACCATGCTGGTCTCGAACTGTGATCTCAGGGAGTCCACCCTGCTCGGCCTCCCAAAGTCTTGGGATTATAGGCATGAGCCACTGCACCCATCCCGAAGACATTTTTGATTGCCACAAAACTGGGGGTGGCAGGTGGAGGTGTGCTACTGGCATCTAGTTGATAGAGCCCAAGGATGCTGCTAAATATCCTATAATGCACAACAAATGCCTCCCACAACAAAGAATTATCCAGTCCAAAATATCATTAGTGTCACTGTTGATAAACTCTGCCTTACGTTAAACTCTTGGTCAATTGGACCACAAATACAAGCAGAGTTTTCAAACAACCCAATGGTCCTCCCACTCCATTAAGAGTGAGCAAGCTGCCAGGTGCAGTGGCTCACACCTGTAATCCCAGCACTTTGGGAGGCCGAGGTGGGCAGACTGCTTGAACCCAGGAGTTTGAGACCAGCTTGGGCAACATGGTGAAATCCCATCTCTACAAAAATACAAAAATACAAACATTAGCTGGACGTGGTGGCATGCACCTGTGATCCCAGCTACCTGGGAAGCTGAGGTGGGAGGATCACCTGAGCTGGGGAAGTTGAGGCCGCAGTGAGCCATGAGTGTGCCACTGCACTCCAGCCTGGGTGAGAGAGTAAGACCTGAAAAAGAAAGAAAGAAAGAGCAGACAACAAGAAATGACCAAACATCTGAGGAAA